ATAAGATAAATATTTATTAATATTCTATTATTTTAAGAGAGTTACAATTTTTATCTATATAAGAAAGTTTCGAATTTTTTGACGTATATTTTTCTAATCTACTAAAGTTTTTTATAATTTTTTAAATTTTATTTAAATATTAATCTGAATCTTTTATAAAAGAAATTATATTATTTTTTTCTCCTTCTATTTTTCAAATTTCTTCATTGTTTAACAAATTCATTGAATTTGCTTTCATAAATATAAAACAAAAATTGAAATAAATAAAAATGTAGAGAAAATGTAATAATAATTAATTAATTCGAAATTCAATTTTATTTATTATATAATTTTTCTACCGATTAATAAAAATTAAAATAATATAAATAAATTACTTAATATTTTTGTATTTATATTCTTTTTTACATTTTTTTTAATATCAAAGAAAAAGAAGAAATCATATCGATAAAATATATATTATTGAAAATATATAATTACCAAACTATATAAAAAATTAATGAAAATCAATAGTTTTATTACATAAGATTTATCTATATAACATTATAATATATACAATTTTTCTCATGACTTTTTAATGAATTGTTATTGCTAAGTGAAATTAAATTCAAAAAAAAATTATTCTATATGTCAATTTTTATAATGTATCATTTCGATATCCTTCTAGTATTTTTCTACAAATAAAATATTTAAAATTTCCAGCTTTCAATATTATTGAATAAAATTAATATGATATATAACATATTCGTTTATAATATATCATCATTTATATAAAATATACACAAAATGAAAAATATATATTTGCATAAAAAATTTACAATCTTTTCATTAGTATAATTCATAATATTTAAAGATAATCATAAAAATCAATATGCTTGTATTCGTTTCATTGAATTTACTTGTTCATTTAGTGGCTTTTGCTTTCTTCGTATTGTCATCGAATAATTGTCAACAAGATTTCGTTGAATGGAATGAAATGAGGAGGGATCGCGAAATGAGCCGTTATGCAAACATTAAATCTCGAGTTAGCGATGGAAATTCTGGTGCGTTCACGTAGTTGTAACGGTACAAAATATTTTAAATTCGCCCGAATTAACATAAATCGACGGCGATCTCAGTTTGAAAAGAATTTCTACGCGTTACTTTTTTTACATTGATTTAGATATGAAAAGTAATTGTTGAAATTTTTTGTCGCCAATATAATTATTGGATTATAGATTATGCAAATATATATTTTCTCGTATTATTTATATCAATGTTTTCTATTATTATATATATCGTTGGTACAAATGAATATGTTATATTTTTTTTTGTATAAGAGTTCAATAAAAATTTTAGTTTTTAACAAGAATTTATTGAGAATTCTGGATATTTTTATTTATAGAAAAAAATGATTCGATAAAGAATGAATTCTATTGAAATGAAAAATATACCTATTTTATTATAATTTGTAATATGTAAGAGTGATTTTTTACAGCTTATAAATATTTGCAAATAAATAATATTAATTTGATAGGAAAGCATAAAAAATTATCGTTATATATTGTAATGTAAATTATGATAAATGTAAATATATATATAATTAATAATAATAATTTATATTATATATTATATATTGCATATATTTATATTATATATTACAATAATTATAATAAATATTCATATGTATCATATGCATATATTCTATATAATATTCTAAATTTGGGACATACATATTTTAAATAATTTGATATATTTATGTACAATAGTTAAATATTTAAACATATTTTAGTTAAAAGAATTATGATTATTAAAAAATTATGATTATTAAATAAAATAATAATTAATATAATTTTTGATAATGAAATGAATGAATTTTTGACTTTCCAAATTTTCAATTATTTTCAATCCAATCAAGTTTTTTATTACAATTACAAAATTTTCTAAAACTTGAGAAATAAATGATATTTCTTTTCTAAATAAATCTTTAATTTTAGATCTTTTTTTATAATAATATGATAATTTTTCTTTAATAAATTTTTTTTATGAAAATTAAGCTTAATTTATTATATTATAATATATAAAAGATTTATACAATTTGAATGAAAAAGACATATTATAATAGAATTGAATTATATTTTTATTATTTTAATTTTAATTCAATTTTATACTTCTCATACAAACAATATCTATCAAAAATTTTTAATTTATAAATAAGAAATGATTATATAATCGTATATTTATATATAAATATTTTAATTATTATATATAACTACTATCAGATTTTTATATTAAAATAATATTACATAATCTATTGATTAATATATGAGTAATAATTATTTAAATTTTGTTAATTTATAT